ACTTAGTGAGATGTGTGTAGGCGCTCAAAGGCTAAAGAATAAGAGCTCAACTTGGTATTATTGCAAAGGTGTTAACATGCAGCATACTAACGAATGAGGTAGATAATGACTGCTTAAGACAGAGTATTCAACAGTTGAGCTGTAAATTGTGTAAGATTTGTATGCAATAGAGGCGCGAAGCAGATCTTTAACGTTTGTAGGATAACAAGATTTTAAGTGGATGAGTTGAAGATGCGTGTGTATCTAGATGCGCGGCGAGGTGCGTGCGTTGTGGTACGTTGCTTTTGGTGAAAGTTTGCGAGCTAGATCTAGAAACAAGGATAAAGTGCAATAGCCGTAGATATGTAATGATCGTAGGATATTACGTAGTTTCGTCGTATTTTTTATACTTCGTAGGCTCCGTGTTAAGGTAAAATGGTAGACATCACGTGCAGGGCAGTCAAACCTTCACTATGTAAGTGGACAACACGATTAAAATTTAAAGTAATGAACAAAGCGCTTTTGATAGTGACTTCTGGAAATATGACAAGCGTTTCTTCGGATACGTTCTTTCGTTGGATCAACTAATAGATACGTTGAAGGTACAGTAACATCACAGAACTCAATGGCTAAACGATGATCAAACGCATCATCGCTTGTTAGTTTAAGTGGGACAGGTGGATTGCTAGAAGAATTATTCGTGGGCGTCGTATGCAGCTCACATCATGGGCTAAGATTCAGGTATTAATGATGGACATCGAATACTAGGCAGTACTATCTATAACTCTTCGGATACGTTCTTTCGTTGAAATCCGCCAATGGGTACGTTGATGGCGAAGTGGCATCAGTGGAATCTACTATTAATCGAAGTTCTAAACGCATCGCTTAGATGCATTGACCGCCCACTTAAACTATCGACGCATCCTGGACGACCGCAAGTAGATGGATTTTTCTCTAGGATAATGTAGGAGATCTAGAAAATAGTTAAAGACTAGTAACATAGTTAAAGAATAAGAAGAAGCTACCTTTTTGAAGATGGGCGAATGTAAATTAACTACCGAATATGGAATCGTGTGCGTACCATACGTGCCGACCCTTAAGGAAGATTCTAACGTTGAGGCTGGCTGTGAGGATCACTTCAACGAACACCACCGAAGTTGTCTGTTCTCTTTTAAACTCGAAGTCATTACACAACTTGCACCACGATGGTGCGTGCATTGAAGCCGGTACGATCTGTGAAAGCAGCCAAGGAAGCCAGAGCTGCTCTTCGAGTTATACGTCGTGTGGCTATTCGTACACGGGCTACACAACCACACGAACCAACTCAACACTCGGAAACCCTCGACGGGTTAGAAGCTGAGCACATAAAGACACGGTTAACACGTGGTGAAGAAACCAAGAGGAGGAACGAAGAGTCTCAGAATCTCCCACAAAGCAAGCGTCGGAAGCGGAAAGACAGCCATGCTGATGCTAATGAGGCTGCCAGCTTTGAATTTGACAAGCAAGGTAAGTGCTAATACAATAAGGTTTTCCTGCAGGTTTCTAAAACCTGTGTATTTCATTGTCTGGCAGATTTCTTCGATGCCATCGACGCGCCATTGTTTCGGGTGTGCGGAAGCTGTGGTGAACTCGGCAATGCAAACAACTCAAAGTTGAAACTATACGATCCGAAATCTATTTTTTTTTTCTCCTCTGTGTAATGCCGATGGAGAGTGCGAAATCATTCCTGAAGGCCTTGTAAGCGATGACTGTAATGAAAGTGTTCGTGAAGGGCTTGTAGCTAGTGAAGACAAGACAATGATATGGCTATGTGACAGATGTAACAGATCTCTGTTGGCACGGAAAACACCCAAATTTTGCCGAAGTAGTGGCTTTAGAATAAGAGCTGTTCCAACTGAACTGGCTGAATTGAATCGAATGGAGTCAAGGCTAATTGGCCTTGGCATTTCTTTCACTACGTGTGTAAATCAATACAGAGATGGCCAGGAATTTACTCGCGGAAATGCCGTTAACTATTGGAACGAGCCGGGTGAAATGGTAAAAGAGCTTCCAAGACCATTAAAAGACTGTGGCGTTGTATTGCTTAAATCAAGATCTGATATCACAACAAACTACTTTCGTGTGCGTCCAGATTTCGTGAGGCGCGCGCTGTGTTGGCTTATAGCTAACAACCCTCTCTATGAAAACATAAGAATCTCAGAAGAAAATTTACGAGAACTAGATGATAACCTCAACGACGATATACCATGCATACCCGTCACGGATGATGAGGTGAGCGAGCTGCAAGGACACGTTAATCAGGCGAACAGCGAAAAACAAGCTAAGCCAAATAACTGCAATGATGGCACCCGTCGTGGGAGTGATGATAGCTCATGTGGATATTGCAATTCGTTGGTATGTGAAGGAGCATTAAATGCTAATACCGACTC